GTCATAATTAACAATCTCATGATACAGTGGCTTTAAAAAAGAAAAAGTTATGTCTTACCTCTTCCCACTGATGTATGTATCTAATTAACCTTGAAAGTCGTAATAAACGCAAGAGGCTGAGAATTTTTGTAAACCTCACAATGCGAAGTGCCCTGGCTGTCTTGTAAACTTCTGAATCCATTCCTTTTTCTACAATAAGAAAGATATAATCCACTGGGATGGATGAGATGAAGTCAACCACAAACCAGCTTTTTAAATAATTCATCTTGATCACTTTAGGGTCCAGGATGATTTCAGAACTGTCTTCATTGACAGTCCCAGTCCTAAAATTCATGATCAGGTCCAACAGGAAAACTGTATCCGATGCCACATTGAAAACTATCCATGGTGTTGTTGTTTGCTCTGTAAAGAATGTGATTCCAACTGGTATGATGACCAGATTTCCAACCATCATTATAAGCATTATTAAATCCCAATAAAACCTACAACAAATAAAAAAATCAGATTTTAAAATGTAGATAATAACCAGCCTATTCTCCCCCCACAAAAATTATTACTGATATATGATTAGATATATAAGCAAAATGACAAATAAATAGTTTTATAAAAAATGTAACTTCTTCAATGGTTGTAAATTTAACTATAAGTAAAACTAATGTATTCCTAAGCCAAGGCATTATGATTATAGAATTCTAAAAATTATTTTATATAAAGCATTATGCAAATAAAATTCAAGAACACCCATGCCACTGCTTAACTAGTAAAGAGGAAAAAAGTCACCTGCCTTGTAGTTAATACACAATATAGATGGAAATAAGGAAGAAATATAAGACTAAAGGATCTATAAGACTGCCTTTGTGAAGACTCTTTGGAGGTGTTTTAAAATATTTTATGTCAACTTACCAATCATAGATGTGAATAAACAGTAAAAAAATGGTACTACAAAAAGTTTGGTTCTGTAAACATATCTCTAGGAGCACAGATTAGGTTAGCCATAGATTCTAGAATAGCCTGCAGCTTTGCAGAACTCCAAATACTTATGCTTTATTCTTTTATGTGAAATAAGAAAACTAACTTTTGTCTGATGCTGAAAAGAATTTAACAGACTCTACTCCAGATTTGAAAATAGAATTTACCTAAAATGTATGTTTTTGTCACTACTTTACTGAATAACTATTTAAATACATTGTCATTATTTTTCCACACAATTCTTTCTTTAAAATTTCAAATCTAATTTTGAACATGCCTGTGATTACTAACTACCTTCTGAAACATTCTTATCTCAGCTTATATTAAAGTTGAAATAAAACCAGGAACTTCATTCCAGATTTATATAGCTTAACTAAATTCACCAGAGATGACTATAATGTTATTTTCACGAGAGCTCTTTCATAGTCTATTGGCACTGCTATTAGCCAGCTAAATAACAGATTATTTATAGTTGTTATACTACATACTTATAAAAATGAAAAATCAAATCAAGTAACAAAACTGTATAATCATGAAATAGTCTCTGGAAACATGACTTTATCTTAGTCATAGGTATCTTCTTCTGGCAGTTTTGTTGTATAAATAATATAAAGTTCCATAATAAAAATTTCTGTTAACCAAGATATTTTTGTTTTACATTAATTCACCTAGTTAGACTATTTGAGCTACATTTTGGCAAGGTATACATTTGCATAAACTTTTCAAAGTTACTACCATCCCTAATTATAAATGTCTATTGGAATAAAAGTAGTAGTACAAGAAAAAACTATAGCGGGCCCTCTCTCCCCTTGTCTCCAGACCCAGGATGATGTAAATGAAAAATGTTTTTGTCATTTTGAAGATTTCACCAGTACTTCTACCAAAACTTACCTGTACATTTATAAACATGTATATAAATACCCATGTCAGACAACATGCACTGGCAATCAAATGAAATCTTTTTTTTTTTCCTCCTCTCTTAATGGAAATGCAAAATGTACCTTTTAATACACTAAGGACAAAGGACACACATAAAGGAGATGCAATATTGTATTAGCTATTTCACAAAGAAATGACATCACTGAACTCTCAAATGAAATCATGTGTACCCTGCGGATTTTTCACTTCTGGACACTCTTATCAAGTCTCCTCTGTGAGCTTCTCTCTCTGCCCTCCCCTTGAAGGCTGCTGCCCCTGGGTGTCACACATAGCCCTTTTATCTTCTGTTCAACACATGCCCTTGAGGCAATATTAAATCCTCATCAATGTCTTTAATGATTAATTTGTAACCGATGACTCCAAAATCTTTATCCACATCCATTCCTGTGTTCTAAGCCTCCGGAACCTCATGATCAGCAGCCTGTTAAATCTCTCTCCTGGCATATCTCATAGTCATCTTGAACAGCATGCCTAAGCTCAAATTCATAATCTCCCACATACATTCCTCACATGTTCTTCATCTCAGGGAACGGAACAACTCTATATGTGATTTGCAAGCCAGAAACCTTAGAGCCATCCTATATAACTACTGGCCTTAAATCTACCCAATCCCACATACAATCACCAAGGCTGTTTAGTTCTAATGCCTAAAGATCTGTTGTATTTATCCATTTGCCTCTTACAATTCCCACTGCAGCTGTCATTCAGAAATTCTTACCAACTGTTTAATTTGGAGACAAGTTACTTAAATTCTTTAATCCTAAAATTCCTTGTCTGTAAAATGAAGATTCTTATAGAACAAAATGTACAGGATTTTTTGGATTAAATGAAATGTTATATGCAAATCACAAAGCGTGGTATATAATAAACTGTGGCACACAATGATGGTGGTCTAGTAAGTATGCAATTACCTACTCTTCTTTACTTACCAAAAGAAATCCAATTTTGTGAAGAGCACTCAGGAGCCCATTGAAAAATATTCACTTCTACAGACATCCTTAATGACATCTGTCATTAAGATAGAAGTGTTTATTGAAGGAAAACTAATATTTCATCCCTCTAAGTCAATAGAGATGAAAAATATGAAGTTCCACCCATTCTTTATTATAATAATAATGTTTATCACACAATAAATTTTTATTATCAGTACTTAATATGGTCTGAAGCCATTTCATATCTCAATATCAATACGAAGCTCCATTAAACCCTACAATTTCCTTTTAAAGTATCATTGACTCCATTTTATAGACGTAAACACAAATCTTGTGATAGACTTGTATAATATTACACTGTCTTCGGATAACATGGATTCATTCCATAGGTAGCCAAAGTAAATACAGTTATCACCTACTCTAGAGGTATGATGTAACTTCTGCTTTTTAAAGCAATAAATGTATTCCTGAAAACTGACCTCATGAGAATCTCTAATTCGACTAACTGCCCACGAATTTTTCTTTGGACTCTTTGTTCCAAAAAGTTCTCTTGGATATCTAGTCTTTTTCTTTTCCTTAACTCTCAATTTCTATGTCTTACACATCCACTGACAATTTGTCATTCCCGTTGATTCCCTCTTTCCATTCCCTCTGTTATCTCTCTGGTTCAGACAAAGCTACCTTTTGAGTAAAATTCCTCATGAGTCCCCCACCTATTCTTTCTGATATTCTACCCACTAGTTCCAAAGCAACCTACCTAACATGTAACTTGCCAGGTCAAAAACTAGCAATTACTCTCTCAGTTAAGTAAAAGTAACTTTATATGGTTGTCAAGGCATTCCATGATATGGCATCCTTGTGCCTTCCCAGCCCCTTCTTTTTGCAGTTTATGACAAGCATCCCTATGTCAGGCAAGGGGGGAACTTGTTCTTGTTTTGCCACCATGCCTACCTAGGTACAGGTACAGGAGAGAGGGTTACTTCTGTGCAACCTATCATTCTACCCATTAGCATTCTACCTATTCTTCAAATCTCATTCTGGAAGGAGTTTCTTAGTGTTTTTGTTTTTGTTTTAACAGACTTCATTTTTTAGAGTAGTTTTAGGTTCACAGCAAAATTGAGCTAAGGGTACAGACGTTCCTCATATACACCCTCTGCCCCTCCACAGGCAAAGCTTCACCCGATTATCAACAACCCCCACCACAGAAGATCATTTGTGACCATAGATAAACCTACATTTACACATCATTATCACTCAGAGTCCATAGTTTACATTAGGGCTCACTGTTAGTGTGTGCATTCTATGGGTTGGGCAAATTTACAGTGACATGTACATACATAAGTAGTTTTACTGCACTAAATATCCTCTGTTCTCCTTCTCTTCATTTCTTAGATTGTTTTTTACAATTCCCAGAGTAACATATATTTTCAGTATGCTTCCAATTTTATTTTTTCTTTTGTTACTAATGATTTGGCTTTGTTTCCTCCATTATTACTGGATTTAAGTTCTTTGAAGTTCAAAACTGTATCTTGTCTTCTATTTATCTTCGGCTGTAATGTAGAAGTATCTACAATAGCAAATGCTAAGAATATATATTGATTTAATGTTTAATGAAAACATACACTTTAATTGGGATATTTAAAGAAAACTTTTTATAATAAGACAAAGAGCCATTATTAATGCAATACACAATAATTTCTTAATTTATCTTTTATATGAATCTGGGTTTTCACTCAGTGAAGGTT